ATGCGTTGGTTTTATTTAGTTCAAATGGGTACATAGAGCCATCATCTCTCACCGGATCGTAGGCTTGTTGAGGGGGCAGGATGATTTCCCCCTTAGGATCTCCCATGGCCATATCCATGTCCAGATCCACAGTCAGCTCAGAGATTGTGGAATGTAGCTGAATTTCTAATTTGTTTATATCCAACCAGGCCATGTTAAATTTTCCCAGTGTTTAAGGAGATCTGCGAACCACCATGAGGCAGGGGCCTGACCATATAGACATTGGTTTAGCTGTTACCTGTTTCACTCAGAACTATGTCAAGAATATCTGTCCTTGTAGGGTACAATTTTTAATGCCTGTGTCCACTGTATGGATGTGCCATAAGTTTACCTAACCAATCGTATTTTCAGACATTTCAATCCTTTTCAGGTGTTAGCTATCAGAACCAACCTGTGTTTTACCATTTTTTTCAAGATAAATAACTAGGCGTGGAATTCATAGCAGAAGGGTATATTTTTAAGGCTTCTGCTATGCATTGCCAAATGCAAATACAATTTATCTTTACCTGGGAGTCCATCAGTTGTGTAAAAATATCTGGGATTCCCCAACCCCCCACCCCATCCTTTTCAGCAGAACTCAGTATTCCTTTCAGTTTTTGCCAATCTGATTCATTTCGTTTCTTAATCTCATTTTATTTGGAATCAGGTTTAAGTGAAACTTATTGAAGGGTACTGGAAGGAAAAGGAAAATTTTGGAGAGCAGGCTGCCTCAAGGGAGAGGGGTGCATGCGTGCGTGTGTGTGTGTGTGTGTGTGTGTGTGTGAGAGAGAGAGAGAGAGAGAGAGAGAGAATATCTGGTGGGAGAGGTCCCACGACCGAACCCCAAGAAGGCAGAGGACGCTTTGGCTGTACGCCCTGCTTGGGAGTCTTGAGTCTGGTCTCACACCTCCCTGGCTTAGTTTCTACTCTGCAGCAAGGGCCTGGGATTGGGGAGTCTGGCCTTCGGCCCTGGTGGGCCAGCTCTGGGTAGAACTTGGACTCAGACCATCTGTGGCCTCTGAATTTGAAGTCCATGGAGAAGCCCCTCTGAGGGGTGGGGGTCAGCAAAGGGAGAAAGCTGCCATCTCAGAACCTGCCGCACACGTCATGGGAACCGGGCAGCGCTCCTGCTGGTCCAGACGTGAGCAAGGGTTGCGGTGTCCCCTAAGTGTACAGACTGGGATTTTATCCGAATCACATGACGATGGCTCAGGTTCTCTTTTTCCCTCTTTGTTGCTTTTAATACATAAAATGAGCATGTGTTTATTTAAAACAGCTTTCAAACTTAAACAAATAATGACAGACTGTTCAAACAGACTTCGGAAATCGCCCTAATCAGGATGTTTGAAAAAGCAAGAAGACTCTCTATAAAAGTAATTTTAGGACCTCCAGTCCTGAAATCACAGGGTCTGCTTTGCACTTTGCAGTCGTAGATGGGCAACGCTTGGGGGCCCGGTTCAGTCTTGGGGTGGGGGTCTCAAATGACACCCCTCAGACCTACCACCTGACTTTGTAATTTCTGAGGAAGTGTAGCTGGGCAGTGTGTTACCACTTCCCATCTTTGCCCAGAACACATCACGTGTATATTTGCACATTTTAACTCATAACTGCTATAAAAATGACTAGGCATCTTCAGAACCAAAAGAGGACTCCTTGGGGGGAGGGGGGCTGGCAAATTGCTCCCGTGAAAGAGCAGACTCAGTAGAGCCCCTGGGGGGCAGGGCAGGTTTAGGAGCCATGTGGCAGGTTTGCAAGACAGCAGACCGGCGCAAAAGTGAACACAACCCCTAGTTCACATTCGAGGCCACATTTACAAATGGCTTTGAGTCGCCTACGTTAATCTTCACAGCAACCAGTTTTATGGGCAAAATAAATGAGGCTCAGCATTGGATCATTTGTTCAAAGTCAGAAGCAATAAAATGTCAAAACTGGGATTTCACCCAGACCTCCTGCCCCAAGCCCAGAGACATCCCCAGACCCCTGGGGCTGCGTCAGCAACTCTGTGCTCATTCTTTGGGTCAAGAGATGCTACTTTAGCTCATCTCAGTCCAGAAATTATGTTTTTTCTTTATAATGCACATCAGAAACAGCCCATTAGGTCCATTAGAAGTGCAGTTATTTACATGAGGGGATAGTGGCTGGGAGAGGGAACCGTACGTCCCCAGAGTGGCAGGGATATTTGGAGAGGCGTTTCTTCTGCCCCCCTGGCATCAGAATCGTGCACCAGGTAGACAGGGAGGAAAGGCCGGCCCCAGTTTGTCTCCACTTCGCCCACTTTCTCAGGATGGCTCCACGGCCAGGAAGGTCAGATGACAAGGGGCTTAGTTGGTTTCCCGTCCTGCCACGGGAAATCCCATTGATAACTAAAGGAAGGCAGGGCCTGGCCATCGACCCTCTCAATGTCAAGGCGCGTTGCCTCCAGCGCAGGGATCCTCAAGGATTCCGGGCATCGGCTGCGGTGGGAGGCTCTGGCCTGCCCAGGCCTTGGACTGAGCAGCATGGAAGGGTGGGCTAGGAGCTGTTCGCAGCTGTGTCTCTGGGATCCTGGGATGCACTTTACAAGAAGCAGAGTTTCTCCTGCTCATAAATCTGTCCTGACCCCTTCCTGCCCCATTTATCCCTGATTATATATAGGGAAAGTATGTTCCTGGACAAGCAGTCATGATTGTTACCTTGGCTTTGTACTGAGAACGCTACACACGTATTTCATTTATGTCTATTGCCTTGCTTTTCTCAGGCTCAAATTTAGAAAATGTCAACAATAGATTAAAAAAAGAAAAAGAAGTAAGCCCTTGCGCCCTCTCCTGGTAAAAGTTAATGTTAGTACGTCCGCAAGTACAGGGCACCCACTTGCTGGCGAGCAGTTACTTGTGCAAGGCTAACTAATGTTGGGTTCATCTGACCAAAGCCATTGACACATGAGACGGCCATTAGGTTTTCCGTGACCCAAGATCAGAATTTCTCCCAAACTTTTCTTCACACAGTTTCTCAGCCTCAGTTCTGTTGGCACTTTGGGCTGAGGACTATCGTATGCACTGTGGGATGTTGAACAGGTTCGCTGGCCTCTACCCATTAGATGCCAGCAGCACCCCTACCAAAAATGTTTCCAGACATTACCAAGTGTACCCTGGGGTCAAGATTACCCCCAGTGAGAACCAACTGCCCTAAAGTCTTGTCTGACTTTTATAGAAGGTGTCACCAGTCAAGGGCCACCAGTAAGAGTGAGAATGCCTCATGGCCTACTTTTCGTGGGGGACAATTTTGGTGACTGATCAACGGGGTTCATTTCTAGGAATTTGCCCCCCAAAAGCAACTTAGCAAGTAGACAAGAATTCATATACAAAAACGTATCGTGATATTGTCTACTATCATAAACAAAAAAATTTAAAGAAGATAAAGATTCAGTTAAATCGGGGACAGCATATATGAAATGGAATACTAGACAGTTGTGAAAAATAATTGTGTAAATCTATATTTAATGACATGAGACGTTCCCCTAATGATGCCTTAAACTCTCACCTTCAAGACCACTCCTCAGAGTCCCAGAGGGTGTTGCGTATTGAAGGAATAATTTCCAACAGAGTAAGCATCAGGTGAAGCATTAGGCCAAAGAATTCAAACCAATGAGTGAATTCAGAAAACTTTAAGTGCCAGTTGAACCTACATGTACCAAAACCACGAACAGCACCGGAGACAAAAACGCTGAACATTGTCAGAACCACCTCCACACAGCAGTGCAACAAAATAGTAGTATCTTACCGACTCACCTGATGAAATCATGTGCTCTGATGCCACACTGTTGGGAGTAATGTGGAAGTAGGTCTTTTTCTCCTCGTGCCTGAATAACTCATACCAAGTGAAAAAAATTTCATTTACTGATTTATATATTCAGATAGATTTAGAGAGTTGTCCAACTACTCATTGGACCCAACAAACGTCTCCCAACAAATCTAAGAAACGAGCATACAGTCCAATCCCAACTCAGTCCAATCTGAAACCATCCAAAGAACTTTGCTACGACTCCAATCATAGCCCTTGCAGACCTGACTTCCATGCAGCAATAGGAAGGGAAGAGAGGAGCCGTCTTCCTTCCCCAGGGACCTGTGTGTCCAGTGACACGTAACTGACCATAAGTGACCACGTGCTTTGCGAAGTTCACAACTTGAGTTAAATGCAGGGTTGTGGTCATCCAGCCTGGCCCACTCCTGGAGGGGAGAGAGCCCTGTTGTTGACTTCAGAGGCTAGGCATGCCACCAGGGGAGGCCACCCTGCTGTGTCCACCGCACCAGCACCCTGGACAGACGGAGCACTCTCACAGAGCTGCTGTGAGCCGGGGGAGAGCATTGGCAGACCACAGAACACGGTTTGGATCTGGGTTCGAATCCTGACCTGGCCACTGGTTAGACAAATCCCTTCACCTCCGTTTTTCCCCCCAGTTTTTCCCCCTCCCCTTTACAGGACAAAAGCAAATAAAATGACTCCATGATACTGGTGTGAAGAATAAATAAAATAATGTGTTCTGGGCATTTATTACAAGCGCCTGGCAGATAATAAGCGTTCCATACTTGGTTGTTATTTTAGGAATGGTTATGCTAGCTAAAATTGCGAAGCCTCCAATATTTCTGCCTTTGTTGTTTTCTTTTTCTCCTTGGCACTTAGCTATCTGATAGCACACTATCTGATACACTTATTTTGTTTACCGTCTATGGCCCACAAGTAGATAAAAGCTTGGTGAAGTAGGAACTTTTAATCTCCTTTGCTCACCGCTGTGTCTCTGCAGTACCTGGCCCGTTAATAGGATCCCGTGAATACTTCTTGAATGAGAATTTAAAAAGTGGGTCTGATTCACTGCCCCAAAAGGGTGTTTTACTTTTCCCCACGTCTGGTCCTCAGGCCAGATGCTGCTCTCTCCGTACGCTGGCATCCCGTGTTCTCTAATTCTCTTTTTTTTTTTTCTTTTCTCCCCGTCTCTGCCCCTGCAGGATGCCTTTGTGGAACTGTACGGCCCCACCATGCAGCCTCTGTTTGACTTCTCCTGGCTGTCTCTGAAGGCGCTGCTCAGTCTGGCCCTGGTGGGAGCTTGCATCACCCTGGGTGCCTATCTGGGCCACAAGTGAAGTCAGTAGGCCTGCCACAAACAAATATGCAAAAGGTTCACTAAAGCAGTAGAAATATATGCATTGCCAGTGATGTACCATGAAACGAAGCTGTGGTCTCTTAAAAACGAAACATAAAACAAAAACAGCTTTCAGGCTCAGCGTCGAATCAGCTATTTACTGCCAAAGGGAAATACCATTTATTTTTTACATTATCAAGAAAAAAAAAAGATTTATTTATTTAAGACAGTCCCATCGAACCTCCTGTCTTTGGAAACCCTACCACGAATTGCCAAGCCTGTGCAGCTCCACCTGGATCTCCTGTGCCTATAAACACGGATTTGTTTTCCATGTTGTTGGCTGGACTGACTCACCATCTGAAGAGCAAACAAACTGACAAAGGACTTGACTGTTCCAGAAGCCGGGTGTCTGGCTGCTGGAGTTTAGGAAGAAGGTGTTCATTTTCCTTGCATTGATTCGCCCTGGGGGCTGCAATACGAAGAGAGGGAAGGCGGTCGGTGGGAAGTCCATCCTTCCCTGGCCTGAAGAAAAGACAGCATATGGCTCACATGGTACATACCCGGTTGGAAGAAAAAACTGGGGAACTTCAGATGGACTTGGTATCCTCCGCCAAGATTTCCACACCGAAGGACAGTGATGGGGAAAAGCCGTGAAACCATAGGAAAGTATTTTTTTAAGCTACCAATTGTGCCGAGAAGCATTTTAGCAATTTATCCAATAGCATCCAGTACCTTAAGCCCTGATGTGTATATTCATACATTTTGGATCCACTTCCCCCCGCCCCCCCACCCCCGGAACTGGCTCTGTCTGTGTATGAAGCAGAGTCCTCCAGAATGCGAGGAGGCGAACGTCTTGGTGACTTATCCAGAAGCATCAGGCCGCCACAAGTGCCTGCGTTTCCCGAAGAGGCCACAGTCTTGCCCCGTTCGGAGGCCTCGTCCTGGAACTGAGCCTGGGCACTCACGGGCCTGCTCGCAGGGTCTTCAACAGAGCAGCGTGCTCTTGGAATGTCTGGAAGGTGACAGAGCTCAGAACCCCACTGTCCAGAAAGAACAGTCGTAGGCCTGGGCCCTCCGGCCGGGCCCCTTGCCTCGTGGAGCGCAGAACCTGGAAGCCAGGGCTCTTAAGACGTTTATCACTGTGGAGGGCAGGAAACAGAGGCTGTGCGCCCTTCCCTGCAGAGGGAGGTGGCTCCGCGGCCACCAGGAGGGAACGCTGCGGCCTGTGGGCACGGTGTGGCCGCGGCGCGTGCGCGCTGGCTGCGCAACTGAAAGCGAGGCTCTAAATGACTTTGGGGAAAGTCCTAAATCCTAAAGGAAGCGTTGAAATGAGGTGTCGTGGATTAACTGACCTATGTCTACGGAATTAACGATGCAAAACATTACTTTGTCATTGTAGGTTGGGGTTTTTTTTGTTTTGTTTTTTGGAAAACCTGACAGGGGGTAGGGGGGAGTTCCAGGTGTGGAATGTGGGAATTCTCTGTACATCCTGGGGCATTAAAAAAAGAAAAAACACACACAAAAAAAAATCAGTGGTGGAAACTCTAGAGAAGTAGTAAAGAAGTGAAATCGCCAGCGAATAAACTAGAAAATATTGTTTTCAAGCTTAGAATCAGCTTTGAGACATTCATGGAATAACTGTGGCATTATTGCATTATATACCATTTATCTGTATTAACTTTGGAATGTACTATGTTCAATGTTTAATGCTGTGGTTGATATTTTGAAAGCTGCTTTAAGAAAAGATACATGCATCTCAGCATTTTTTTTAAAAATTGTATTTAGTTAATGGCCTCTACACTATTCGTTAGCAAAAATTTTCATTTTTCTATTTGGGATTTTTGTCTCAATTCTTTAAAAGCATTTCTGAGAAGGTGAGATAAGCCCCGGGTCTTGGCTACCTGAAAACCCTGGAGCATACTGGCCACTGTGGAGTTATGTGCATTTCCACGTCAACAGAATTGTTTATTGTGAAGGATGTAGCTGTTGTCCCTTTGACCTTGTTCCGTGAAGGTTTACCAGTCCCTGGGCAAATCAGAATCTAACGCATTATTTAGGCTGACATACATGTTTGGTTAAACCCATGAGATTCATTCCGTTGAAAATCCAGACGGGAAATGACCAGGGGATTAAATTCTGGCCATGATGGTTTGACCTTCAGAGGGTTGCTCTGTGTGGTCTGTTTTGACAGAAACCCATCTAGAGCACTCCTGCCATCTTTCCACGGGGCCCTTTCCTGGCTCTCCTTCATATTCTTCCTGAAATGTGGGGGCACCTGTGCCCCACCCCAAGAAGCAGGAACCCCATGGTATGAAGCCAGACCTCCCTGGCAGGCCTCAGGGAACAGAATGATCAGACCTTTGAATGATTCTCATTTTTAAGCGAAATACTATTTTATGAAAGGTTTACATTGTCAAAAATGATGAATATAGAATATCAAATCCTGTGCTGCTACCCTACCAAGATCATTTTAGTGGAGTCAATTTGCAGTACACTCCAAGTGGCAAAGTCCTCCAAGCTGCTTTAGAAGTAACAATGAAGAACAGAGACATTTTTAATATAAAGCCTGTTTGTCTTTTGTTGTTGTTGTTGTTGTTATTGTTTGTATTGTTCAAAGGCAGAGTATTCTAAAAAATGTGTATATATATAAAAAAGAAAAAAAAAGGTCATGGGGGCTAACTTCCGGCTGGTTTTCTTTTGCTGTGGGGTATTGTTACCTGGTTTTAATGATAAATGTGCCTGGCCGCCTGACCCCAAAACTGTACAGTATGGTGGCTCCACTCGCTCTAAGAGTAGTTGATGTTGCATTTTTCTTGTTCTTAAAAACATGTTAGAAGCAATGAACATATATAAAAACCTCAACTAGTCATTTTTCTTTCTCTTGTCTTTCAATGTGTCGATTATTTTGTGATCAGACAACAGAGAAGCATTCCTACCTCTTCCGTGTTAAGAAGGGATTCATGCCTGCATTTGCTGTCAGCGTGGTGTATGTGTTGGCCAAGGTCGGTGTTAAATAGAATACAGGCATTTTCCATATGGGGGTCAAGAGCTCTAAAGAGCCACAAGGAGCAAAGCACCCAGGAACCACCTTGGTACTCCCAAGCTCTCACTGCACAAGGCAAGCTGAAAGAGGTCGAATGACAAATGACATGCTCCACAGCACACAGTTCATCTCAGATTTGGCAGTGGCTGAAAATTCTTGTAGGTTTAAGGTTTGAAGTCAAGTCACATTTCAAATGAAGGAAGCACCTTGCTGTATAGTTCAAGCAAACAGCCCCAACGTCTTCTGCCCCAACCTACTTATCTCTGCATCTTCAGATATGACCTTCCATTTAGATGTGACTTCTGTTTCATTAGTAACTGTTGATTGTTTATCATCAAAGGACCTAGTCCTGGCCCAATATGGGAAATTAGGAAGTGATTATAAATCAAAAGGAGTTATAATAATCCGGTTTAAATGTAAATAAGCAGTCTAGGCTGTAATTAAACTTAGGCTAAAATGACTAATTTATAAATGTGAACTTAAATGCTAATTTCAATTGTACTTTTAGAGCAGGGGCTGTTTTTATACTTTCTTATCAGTTATAGTTAGTAATGTACACCTTCTCTATCAGAAAAAAACAGGAAGAGCTTGAAATACAAGCCATTCTAAGGAAATTAGGGAGTCAGTTGAAATTCTATTCTGATCTTATTCTGTGGTGTCTTTTGCAACCCAGACAAATGTGGTTACACACTTTTTTAAGAAATACAATTCTACATTGTCAGCCTTATGAAGGTTCCAATCAGATCTTTATTGTTATTCAATTTGGATCCTTCAAGGATTTTTTTTTTTAATTATTACGGGACAAAGGACATTTGTTGAGGGGATGGGAGGGAGGAAGAATTTTCAGAGGAGCGAAACGTTCCCAAGACTGGATTAGGAGGTTTTCAGAATAGCCAGGACTGTGGGGTATGACATGGAAGCAAGCGAGACGTTTACAAGGGTCAGGGTGATGCCTCTGTGAAGAAACTTCTGCAATAAACAAGAAATATTTTTAAGTTCTGCAGTATATGCATAGATTCTAGAGATATCAGAACGTCAAAGTCCACTGCTCTCTCCCTTCTTTTTTTTTTTTTAAGCTACCTTTATTTTATTTTATTTTATTTTTTTTTAAGAGAAGGGGAGAGAGAACGAGAGACAGAGAAAATCTTAACCAGGCTTCACGGCACGCCCAGCACAGAGCCCAGTGGGGGCTCCATCTCACGACCCTGAGATCATGACCTGAGCTGAAATTAAGAGTTGGATGTTTAATCAACTGAGCCACCCAGGCACTCCCCAGCTCTCTTTTAAACATTTACCATCAATGGTATATATTTCAAGCGTGGATATATCTAATGGCTATTTAAATGACAAATTAGCAGTTTTAACCAACAGGAGACTTAATGAAAACTTCTGGTTGGTAGGGACATCTGTTTCTAAATATTTATTATGCAGAATACAGAAAAAAATGTGAAACTGAATTGGGTTAAGTGGTAATATAAGTCCCTTCTCCTTACCCGGAATCACTCTGTTCATGACTGTGCTCATAGGACAGGCTTTGGACAACTGTGATATATGCATCTCACTGGGCATGAAGAAAACCAATGGAGTATGAATGGTATTGTACCAATTCATAAGGACAATGCCAGAAAAATAAAACCAATATCCTGGTGGGGGGAAGTGGAAGGGAATAATCCAGCCCCATTCATCTGAGATGTATTTCCATTGAAATTATTTTTTATGTTTAATAATCATCAAAATTTGTAACATATTTGCACACCTTTAACAATTGGAAAACAATAATAATAACAATTACTCAACCCAGGAACAAAAAAAGTAAAGCCTGTATCACAAAAATTCATGGACTGCCTTTGGTGGTAGAAAATAATGAGCAGTTATTTAATTTTAAACTTTTAGTTTTAAGACCTATCACATTGCTAGGGGCACCTGGGTGGCTCAGTCGGTTAAGTGTCTGACTGATTTCAGCTCAAGTCATGATCTCAGGGTAGTGAGATCAAGCCCTGTGTCAGGCTCTGTGCTGGGCGTGGAGCTTGCTTAAGATTCTCTCTCCCTCTCCCACTGCCCCTCCTCTCTCTCTCCCTCTCTCTCTCTCTCCCTCCCTCTCAAAAAGAAAAAGACATATATCACATTAGGATAAAATGGAGGGTAGAAATATGAATTTTGGAGAGAAAAGAACAATGTAAAATTTCTAGGGGTCAAAAAATAACTCGTCCCCATATTTATTCATGTAGATGATGCTGAGTATCAAATCGTTATGGTATTTGGATTTCAATTCTATAGCTAAATTTATTTTTCAATGTCAATTGTTAAAATAACTTTTCAGTTATTTGAAAAAACAAGCTTTTCATAAGTATGTGTCAAAATTCTATTTCAAATTGGCTTCAAATCAGGGATTCCTCTTGGATGGGACCTCTAAAGAAGAAAGAAATGTGCCATAACCAAAAAAAAAAAAATGACCAAAGTCTGATTGATGTGTTTTAAGATAGCTGAGTAGGGGACCCTAACTTCTCAGGATTTCTTAATCCCATCCAAGTCTATCTGGAAATTACTCAAGCATTTTATCAGGAATCATAATTATTTCACGGAAGGGGCTGTAAATTACATCATGCAAAAATGTTCTTCCATAAACCATTTTGGGACGGTTTTCTTTCTCCTACTCTTAACAGCACATTGGAAATTAAACCCTTTGCAACTGTTTACATTTCAATTTTAAAAATTAAATGTCAACTGAAACATGCACGAGGGTGGAACTTGTCTTTAAAACTTCTTTTAGTGGCACACCAGCAACTTGTCAGAAGACACCTCAGCACGTCCTCTGAGCTCTACTGAGAGCTCACAGCGGAAAGGGGGTCAGAGGAGGAGCAGAAGATACACTCCCTCCCTCCAGGACCCGGTGGGGCTTTTGAATTGAAGTAACTCTTTTGGTCAGCACCAAGGAAGTCGGTAAAAGGATAGTAAAGTAATAATTGCAATCAGTATTCATTCCAGGAGCAAAAAATAATAATAATAAAGCCTTAAGGTCACAAAAACTCATTTAAATGCACTGGATTACTTTTGTTGTAAAAAAGTATGAGAGGCTAATCAATTTTAAATATATTCTTTTTGTTGCAAATTTATGTTAAAATTCCTTATGGGGGGTGTTGTTTTGCATTAAAAAAATACCCTTGCAGCCTCATTGCCCCCCCCCCACCCCACTCCATTCTCTGCAGGTTTTGGTTGCTGCTCCTGTACCACCCTTAATTTATGCTGCAGGAAGATCTTTTTTTTTTTTTAAATCCTAACTCCCACTTCTGCCTTTTTTTTTTATATAGTTTTTTTTTTAATTTTTATTTATTTTATGATAGTCACACAGAGAGAGAGAGAAAGAGGCAGAGACACAGGCAGAGGGAGAAGCAGGCTCCATGCACCGGAGCCCGACGTGGGATTCGATCCGGGTCTCCAGAATCGCAGCCCTGGGCCAAAGGCAGGCGCCAAACCGCTGCGCCACCAGGGATGCCCCCTGCAGGAAGATCTGAGCCCACATCCATAATGAAAGGCATACCCCAAAGCAATCAGGCCCTGTTCATTTCTTCCCTCTGTTCTTACTCCCTGAAAGAGGAACTCTCTGAGTTGCCTTTAATTACGGTCTCCTTTGAGGGTCTCCCATAGCTCCTCTCTGGACCCAGAGTAAGAATCTCTGAGAGGGAGCGTCAAAAACTCTGACGAGCCTGAGATCCGCCCGCGCCCCCTACTTGAGAGCTGACAAGTCCGCCTGCCCCCATTTCATGGATGCTGGTTGAAAACATGAGATTCCTGAGCCAGAGACAAAGGACACAGTATTACTCGCAACACTTGTAGCCAGAATACCAGCATTTTTGAGCCTTGTCCCCAGGTACCAATTCCCACACGACTCTGTGAAAAAGACCAGAAGACATCTGCACCCATCGTGAGTTGTGATGCAGGAGAGGAACTCTGAGTTTAGGAATTTAGGCAACTCAAGTCATTTCTAATGAGCCCTTAGCACGTCTGTCCTTTGCTCTGGAGGAAGGCACCAACCGTGTCTTGTCTTTGCTATACCAACAGTCTCGGGAAGCCTGGAACTTGGCTTGCCGCAGGAGCAGAAACCCAAGAAACCCCTGGTGAGTTGTCTCCCAGCAGTAGAAGCAGTCTACCCTTGCTGCAGGTCAGGCCCCTGAACGCAAAGACAGCAAAATACAGAGAGAGCCCTGCATGGACACACCCAGGAAGGGTTGCAGCAAGTATGGTGAGGATTCCCTAAGAGCTGACTTGATGCTGCTGATCATCAAAGATAACCTTGGGTCTCTCTTGCCAGCAACCTGCTGTCCTTGGGCCACTGGATATTTCCTGTCTCCTCCACACATCAACCAAATCTAATTGATAATCTAGTCCCAAGACTAGGTCTCTCCCTAGCTTCTCCTTTCCTCTCAGTGGCGTTATCATTTCCCAGTGTGCCAGGTTAAGCGCCTTGGCGCATCCACTGGATGCCCTTTGGATGGGTTGATGAATGGATCCAGGAATCCAACAAACATTTGTGGTGCTCCCCTCCAAGCACAGGTGTGGGGCTGGGCTCTAGGCTTTAGGAATGACCAAGACCCAGGGAACCTCATGCTCCTGTCTTGCCTGTTGGGTGGATTTTTTTTTTTTAATTTTAAAAAAGTATTTATCAAATCCCATTTAATAGGCTCCTTGTTTTCTGGACGCATCTTTCTCATCAGTCAGGAGTAACTTGCTATTTTTGCATTACTAAGTGTTGTTTTTCAAAATGGATTGTTTAGGGGCTGGTTCCCACTGACAAACAATAAGCATTTCTCTCGTTCTAGCCAAGCC